GCTCAGGAGTTGTTCCTCTCTGTTTTCTTGGGAAGCCACACAGTGGGGAATTGAACTTGTTCCTCCTACATGCAAAGTATGCATTCAGCCCACTGAGCCATCTGGTCTCCTACTTAATATCTGAATATGGACAAGAATCGCCATCTAGGAGCCTGGTGAATAGGCAAAACAGTTCTGAAGAGTGCTCCAGAAGGAGGGCAACAAGGTAGCTACAGCAGACCCATACAAAGCCTAGTAGAGTGTAATATCTCTCTATGCATTTGGGGGACAGAAAGGAACCTCCTGTCTCTGAAGGGCCAGCACCCGACTGTGGTGGCATAGGGGGATGGAAGGGGCCCTCTCTGGCCTCTGCAGTCTCCCTTCTGAGCACAGACCCTGGACTCCGACAGGCTTCTGATCAAACTTTCTCCAGCCTGACTCATCAAAGGGAAGCCTGCTACTGTGCAGAAAGGCTTTGAGGCTGTGAGAGGAGAAAGAATTTAAAAGTGAGAAACTGAGGGGTCTCAAAGGACATCTCGCCCAACAAAAAAAGCAAAAGAACCGGGATATAAAAGATCTATGATTTCTCTAACAGTACGTAAAAAATACAGGTGGCTAGTTTGTCATATCGTAAACGTTTTCCCCACTGACTCTGAAGTCATTGTGAGCTGAACCAAATCTGAATTAAAAGAGGCTTCAAAGGAAGCTTAACAGTTGGTCACAAGGGGTAAATTTCCCTGTACTGCAAAAGGGAAGGCTCCCCAGAGGGTGCTAAGTGGTAGGGTCCCTTCAGTAGCTTAATACAGTTGAAAATCATAACTCTTCACAGGCCAGAGCTGGATGCCACGGCCACCTTCACCAACTTGCTCAAAGTCGCAGTAAAACAAGCAGGCAAACCCACATATGTCATCTCCGATGACGGATTTACTGACTTCGGATGGCCGCTTCTCTTTTTAATACTTTCCTCCCTCTGCCGGGGTGTGAATGACACAGACCACACCGCTGAGGTTCAGAAAGCTCTCCCCACCATGGCTTTGCTTGTGAGTTGAGGGTCACCTTCTCTGAGAGTAGTACACTTTCAACAAGGGCACATATGCAGACAAAGCCAGAGTTTTCTCATCTCCCAAATACCTTTATGGTCTGGAGGCTTCTCTAACCCCCAGATGAAGGAGCAATTCCCACACCATTCCCACAAACTGGATTTTTGAATTCCCGTCAAGGAAATTATAGGAATATATTTAATAAACATTTTAATAGTAAAGTAAAGTAAAGTAAAGGTTATGTATATTTAATATTGCTCTGAGTTCTAAGTGCCTTGCAACTCTTCACTGAATCCTAACAACCATCCTACTCTGTTCAGCAGGAGACAGGGACATAAGTTTAGCAATTTATCCTAAATCACATGAGTCCCAAGTGACAGAGGCAGTTGCCCTACTTGGGTTCTGGCTCCAGAGTTTAAGCTGTTTACCACCCTGCTCTGTTGCCTTGCTATTAATTTTCTTTTTCCTATTCAAACACAATTTGTGTGTCCCAAATCCATAAGCTCATCCTCTGGGTTTGATATCCCGGAATAATTCTTATCAGTGCTTCAAAGTGCAATGCAGGGAGCTAGGGCGATAACTTAGAGGGCTGGAGCATATGCTTTGTATGTTTGAGTCCCAGGTTTGATTCCTGACACCACAGGGTCCCCCAAGCACCTATTTGGGTGTGCCCCCCCAAAGCAAAAACAAAACAATGTAGTGTGGTTCTACAAAGCTGGCCAAGATGCCTGGGGAAAAAGAAAAAAGGACAAAAGGAGACAGAGGCTCATTGTAATTACACTCCCAGGGGTGGTTAAGTGGGCAATTTGTTTTCTTTGGCCGTTTTTCCAGTTTTGATTAGGAAACCAGGGAGCTTCTGATTTATCTGCTGCTTGGGGTGAATCTGTCACCCGCCCCCTCCCCAGCTCTTTTATGTCCCCACCGGTTGCTACTTGGTTTCGCTACTTCTGAAAAGTCTCTGGACACTGTTCCATTATGTAGAGTCAGGCAGGAGACAGACGGATGTATATGAAGCGGTGATGAAGCTGGCACCGGGTCTGCCTTGTCTGTGGTGGTTTATTACTGCTGCCAGCAGAAGAGAAATCTGATCCTGGCAGATGCAGCCTGCTGTGAATCAATATTTTACAGGTAGTATACTTTGAAGAGATGACATCAAGACAGAATCAAAAGAGAGGAGGGAGGGAAAGCGAGAAAGAAAAGGCACAAGTAGAAGTCTAGAATTTATCCTGACATCCTTTGACAGTCCGTCCCACAAGGAGCGAGAGGAACAAGCCCCGGCCAGGGGAGCCGACTTGGACGTGGGGGAACAGCCTCCCTGACAAAAGCCATTACTCCCCCTTGCCTTCACCACACATGCACTCACAAAGAGGGGATATGCAGCTGTGATCCCCTTCGGAGCAAAGAAAGCCAGTTTTTAGATGCAGGCTGAGAAACACCCAAAGACACAACAGGAAACAGACCATCTCTTCCCTGATTCCCTGGTGAGACACTGAGAAAGCACTAAGTGGAGAGAGAAACGTCCCTACATGTGCCTGTTTTGGGTCTGGGCTTTCCAGATGTCCTGGGAAAGGGGACTCGTGGGAAAGCATTCCAGAACTTCCATCTGGGCAGTGAGCAGAGTTTGCCAGGCCTCAAAGGATCCCCTTGGACTAAGTTCTGGGAGTGCTTCCCCTGGGGCACACTTGCAGGCAAAGGCACTGACAGACAGCCAAGGATGGGAGGAACACGGTTCAGCCCAGAACAAAGGAGATGCATATCTCTGTGGCCTAGAGTAGAAGAAAGATGACTTCGCTGGGGTGAAAATTAACTCAGAGAATAAAGCCTTTCCTATAGACAAGGTAGTGTGCGAGATATGACACTCAAAACGCTGTGCCTTTCTTCAAAGGGAAATTAAGACATGTACATGTTCTGCTCCAATAAAGGGTCAACTGACATGAGTAATCAAAAGATGTAATAAGAATGCATTGCAGGATTTCATAAAAGAGAGAGAATTCTGTTATCCTAGAATTGTAGTCTTTTCAGACAACTGTGTTTTAGAATTTTAGTCTTCATCCTTTAGGGACACTGACATTTAGAGTTGACACTGGGATCTGAGAGAGTGGAGTCCCTAGATTCCCTTCCTGGACCATATAGGATATGTGCTCCAGGAAGGGAATTATATGGGTAGCACTGTAGCACTGTCCTCCCGATATTCATTGATTTGCTCAAGTGGGCACCAGTAACGTCTCACAACATCTCCATTGTGAGGCTTGTTGTTACTGTTTTTGGCATATGTAATATGCCACAGGAAGCTTGCCAGGCTCTGGCGTGCGTGAGGGCGGGATACTCTTGGTAGCTTTCCAGGGTCTCCAAGAGCGACTGAGGAATTGAATCCAGGTCAGCTGCATGCAAGGCAAACTCCCTACCCACTGTGCTATCACTCCAGCCCTAGATTCCCTTCCTGGACCATATAGGATACATGCTCTAGGAAGGGAATTATATGGACAGGGTATAAGATATTTATGGGTTGGATCTGGGCCTGGTAAGATGCGTTGATTTCATCCTAAGTAGAGGAAATTATTTAAATCAGCATTTTTCATGCTCTTTTGTTTTGGCTTGGTTTTGTTAGAGGGAGGTTGGGCTGCAAAATGCTCGGTGGGCTGGGGTTATATTTGTCCAGGCTGAATGGGCCAGTTGCTCAGTGCTCATGTCTGGTGATTCAATACTGCTCTAACTCAGTGCTGAGGTCACATGGGTCATATGACCAAGGGTGGTCAGGGCTGCATGCAGAGCTGGGATAAAACTCTATGAAGCACAAAGCCTGTCTTCCAGCTCTTTAAGTTATCTTCCTTCAAGTTTTCTTTTAAAGAACACAAGGCAGGGGCCGGAGCAATAGGACAATGAGTAAGGCATTTGCCTTGCATGCAGCCAACCCAGGTTCAATTCCTGGCATCCCATATGGTTCCCCCAAGTACTACCAGGAGAGATTTCTGAGTGTAGAGCCAGAAATAGCCCTTGAGCATCACTGGGTGTGTCCTCCCAAAACAAAACAAATTATAACACAAGATATACAAAGGGGATAGTGAATGTAATATTTTATTTGATAAATTTGTTTTGAATTCCCATCTTACATGGAAATAACCAAAAATAAAAAAAAGATAGGGTTAAAAATGTTAGAGAATTAGAAATTGAGCTCCCATTTGACCCAGCAATACCACTCCTGGGAATATATCCCAGAGAGGCAAAAATGTATAGTCGAAGTGACATCTGCACTTGTTTGTTCATTGCAGCCCTCTTTACAATAGCCAGAAACTGGAAGAAACCTGAATGCCCAAGAACAGATGACTGGTTAAAGAAACTTTGGTACATCTACACAATGGAGTACTATGTAGCTCTTAGAAAAGATGAAGTCATGAAATTTACATACAAGTGGTACAATATGGAAAGTATCATGCTAAGCGAAATGAGTCAGAAAGAGAGGGATAGACATAGAAAGATTGCATTCATCTGGGCGATATAAAGTAACAAAGTATGAGATTAATACCCAAGAATAGCTGAGATCAGCACCAGGAGGATTACTCCATAACTTAGTGGCCAGCCGGGTATCCTAGAGGAAAGGGCTATTCAGATAGCGAAGGGAGCACCAAATAAAGGATGTTTGGAGGATCCTCCCAGGAGGGGAGATGCATGTCGAAAGTAGACTATGGACTGAACATGTTTGCCACTCAATGCCTCTTTTGCAGACCACAACACCCAAAAGGAGAGAGAGAACACAGGGGATTGCCCTGCCACAGAGACGGGGGGATGGGGGGATGGGGGTGGGAGGGATATTATCCATGGTGGTGGAAAATGGGCACTGGTGGAGGGATGGGTATCTGATCATTGTATAATTGAAACCAAAGCACAAAAAATTGTAAATCTACAACTTAAAAAAAAATAAAATAAAATAAAGGGGAAAAAAAAATGTTAGAGAAATTTTTCTCACTTCTGCTCTCATATTTTAAAAATATGGAACACTTCATGAATTTGGGTGTTATCCTTGCTCAGGGGCTATGTTAATCTCTTCTGTATCATTCCAATTTTTATATATGTGCTGCTGAAGAGAGCACCAAAAAAATAGTTAGAGAATTTTTAGGGGGGAAAAAAGAGGCAATCTTTCCAATGCAAAGAATCGCTCATTGACAGATTAATTGGGATTCGGTGTCTATACAGTATCTTTAATTTGACTAATATAGGAATTGGCTTAAATATGGATTAGGGAGGTAGAACAGGATTTAATAATATATGTATCCAAGTTTTTTGTGTTGTTTATTTGCTGCATAAGCAATAAGCAAGTATTCAGCTAACACTTCTAAAATATTTTCTAATAAAGAACAATTTTAAAGTGGTCTTGCCAACTGAGGAGATTTAGGGTTCTATAATTTACTCCCCTGCAACAGCAAGACTAATAAAATGGGTTAATCCCATTCATTCCTTTCCCTCAAAGAGTCACTTTCTTTCTTATTAGCACCTACAACAGGTTTTCAGTGTAGAAAATTATTTCCTATCCTGAGAATATCTCCTTCTCCACCTTTACTGACTTTGCTAACTGGTCTGATTAGACATCATCTGGCAAGTTAGCTCCATCCCTCACTTTCAGTGATGCTTTTTTCATACAGAGAGGTGGAATAGCTTGAATGCCTCTCTGCCACTTTCCCAGCTATCAGAAGCCTTAGGGCAACACTAGGCTACAAGCTTTGGCCTGCCTATTTCTTTCTTAAGCCTGGAATAAATCCCAAGCAAAAGAGTGTGCAGGGAAAGTCATTCTGCCGCTTCCTTTTAAGGTCCATAAAATAGATGGACTAAACATACCTGATAGTAAATTGATAAAAGGGAAGAAACAGTGAATGTCACCTATTATTTGGGAAATGCCAGAAAATGTAACAATAGGATGTGGTAGCCAAACACTAAAATATTTAGGGTGATCGGCCACCCCAGTTTATGTTTGTTTTCATGGTATAAAGACCCTTTCATTCTCAAAGATGCCCCCGTTTGTGCTATAGAGTACATGGCCACTCTACAACACCTGCAAAATAAGATGAGCAAAACAACCTGAGCATGTGACCCGCTCAGTCCCATTGCCTCACTTCTATCAATCATGCTCATAAAAGCTTGGTATGTGAACCAAATGCTGCATAACCATAATTATGATTTCCATCGGGAAGTGACCATTGATTAGGAAATGGAGTTATTTTTATTGGAGAAGTGTAGGGCTAGCCAAAGGTTAATGGGGACAAAAACAGGCTGGCCTAGAATCCTTGATAGATTAATACTAATTTGCATGGTGAAGGTTAAGTGCTGTGTGGGCTGCCAAAGGAAATGCAAGTGTCTCAGAATGATTCTGGATAAACAGGAAGGTCAGAATAGGAACGGGGCAACCTGTGATCTGCGCCAGCTCATGTTCTCTGGGACTGAAATGGTTCACCTCTCTGGGAACCAAACTCCTATGTTCTTGACAGATCACCTAACGTTGACAGCCTGAGAAGATTAATAGGAAATAGTGAAACACCTGCTTTAACAGCACAATTATCCTCGCCATGGTCTAGTACTACCTAGAGTCAAAAGAGCAAACACACTGGGCTAGAGAGAGAGAGCAGGGCTTAAGTTCATGCCTTGCATGTGGCTGACCCTGGTTAGATACCTGACACTGTATATGGTCCCTGAGCCCTGACAGGAGGAATGATCCATGAGCACAGACCTATTAAGCCCTGAGCACCATGAGGTGTGGCACAGACATCCCCCTCCCCTCAAAAGAGATAACAATCTAACACCAATAAAATGAATGCTCCTTGGAAACAACTGAAGTGATGAGTGGTTGTTTCACCACACCCCCTCATTTACTATACAACAGCTACCCTGGCTCCTTTCCATCCTTTAAAATAAGTCAAACTCTTGGTGGTGGGAAATGTACACTGGTGAAGGGACAGGTTTTAGAACACTGCGTGACTGAAAATCAATCATGAACAACTCTGTAACTGTGTATCTCACGGCAATTCAATGTTTTTAATGAAATAAAAAATAATAAAATAAGTCAAACTCATTCTCACAGTTCACATCTTCTGTTTCTGCCACTGGTGAGGTCTTCCTGGAAGTAAAGTGAGTTCACTTCCAGAATGAGTGAACCCTTCCCTGCTATCTGGCATTTGTGTAGATGGCAAAACTTTGAAGTGGCTTTCCAGATCACCCTATTTAAAGAACTTCCCATGATAGTCTTCTGCCAAGTCTTCCATTAATCTTTTTCATTCTATGTCACCAAGTTCAATTGTCTTGTTTGTTTCCTTGTTTATTGCTTGTCTTTCCCTCTACAATGACTCCATGAGTATAGAACTCTTATTTTTTGGCATCACTGTACCGTTCTGGTAGTGTCTGCATGCATTTGTTGAGGGGAGTGAGTTGTGAGTGACAAGCCCGTTGTTAATTCACTAGTTGCAACTACAGAAGAATAAGTACAAGGATCCTCATTGAAGGATAGTTTCTTCGAAGTTAACTTACCAACCTCATTCTGATGAAGCCAAAAATTCAAGCAAAGAAGAAATAGCATGCCTAAGGACATCTGCCTCCTTACTAGATACACAATGTAAATCTAGTGCTGAGAAATGAAAAAGTCTTCACCTTATTTTTCAAGATACTCTGATCTGTTGATTATAAACCATATAAATTCTAACAAAGTGTGATCACCATTCATATGAGCAAAGTAATGGAGAGGAAATACTGAGTAAATTACCAAGTAATTAATATAAAAAGACTAGGAAAATGAGAAGAGGGAGAATATCTTTAAGGATATTTGGAAAAATAAAGAAAGCAATATTCTGAACAAATCATGTTTTTGGTCCATTCTGAACATTATTGCTGCTCCATGCATCCTTCACACTACACTTTGTAACACATCCTTCACACCACATAAGCATGGACACAATCTACATTTTAAAATTTTAGTTAATCCCTCAAGTTTAGTTTCTTCTCTAGAAAAGTGATAAAGGGATTTCCCTGCCTGGGTACTATGAGATAGTTTAGTGGCCTCAAATAATATGTGATGTCACAGTATTCCACATCATTTTATGATTCTCTCCTAACTTTGAAAGAGAAACACATTAATGAGAAGGGGCCATTGGATCTTTCCTCTGGAGATGAAAAAAAAAACATAAAACATTTCATTCTTTACATGTGAAATTTTTTAAGGAGAAAGAATTTAATCACACACCGATACAAAAGCATTCTTTCATCAAGATTTTACAGAAGGAAATACTAAAACAAGACAAAAAGAACTAGGGCACATGACAACTGAAAGGGTTGATGGCACTCCACTCACTCTATATTCTTATAAAAATCACTTTAGAGCTGATGGTTCACCTTACACCTGATGAATCTTACATCTGTGATTGGAGGCAAAGAAAAACATATTTCAAGTATTCTGTTTACTTAAAAAAGTGACTTCTACATATTTGTTTTTGAAAGATACTGTCTGAAATACTCCCTCAAACTTAATCTTCAATTTATTCTTTTCCTCATCCCCATCCTCTTCTTTTGATGGTGAAGGAACAGTGAAAAATCACCCAAGTTCAGAATAACATGGTTGTACAAATATCACATGAATAACATAGTGTCATTTCAGTAAGGTATAAAAGGAATTATTTTTATTATCGTAGAATTTTCACCAGAACACATTCCTAACATAGGAGCTATTGTTAGTGATTCAATGAGTCATAATAACACATTAGAAATTTAAGACTTAGGGGACTGGAGCTATACTACAGTGGGGAGGTCATTTGCCTTGCATGCGGCCGACCTGGGTTCGATTCCCAGCATCCCATATGGTCCCCTGAGCACCGCCAGGAGGAATTCCTGAGTGCAGAGCCAGGAGTAACCCCTGAGCATCGCTGGGTGTGACCCCAAAAGCAAAAAATATATATATTTAAGACTTAGGCAGAATCTCCTGCCCCCACCCCAAGCTGTCTTAACCAGGGTCCCCTCAGAAGGGGACAGGTTGAGTATCCCTCCCCGCCCCAAGCAGAGCCCCAGCAGCCGAAAACATCCAGAACCCAGCCACAGCCATGCTCAAGGACACACTCCACACACTCAGATGAGCCTCACCCATGAGAGAACCAACAGAGGAACCCAGGTGTGCGGACTCGTGGCTGAGATCTTCAAGCCTGCTCAGATCGAGTCTGGACCTCCTCCATTTACATCCCCAGTTTTCCAGTAACTTTGCATAATACCCACAAACTGCTCCCGGCGCCATGAAATCTAATCAATGGCCAAGATCCAGAGACTATAGAACAAAGCTCCTGGAAAAGAGTGATGCAGTTTTTCCTGGGGTGCGCAGCTGCTCTGATGTACCTAAAGCAGCACACACGTGTTTAGTTTTAACATGCTTGTATTCTCTTATATACAGGTTTAAATAGCCTCAGGATGAAATCAACAACCTTCACACACTTCCCTCTTATTGTAGTGGGAAGATGCTCACTGGTTGGGTGGGTGTTTGAATACAATCTGTAATGAACTATTGTGAGTGAACTACTTTATGAAAATTAAATGTATAAAAATGGCAAACAAAAAATCACTTAACTTCCCGTTAGTCAACGATTTGCTCGAGCGGGCGCCAGTAACGTCTCCATTTGTCCCTGCCGCGTGCTAATGTAGCCCAATGGCATCTGTTCGCTCCGGGAACATGAAGAGCATCAAACCAATCGTTCATGATCTTGACGAAGAAGTCTGACCATCTGGTAGGTGGGCGGCCACGCGGTTTTTTGACATCCCGTGGAATCCAGTCAGTAACAGCTCTAGTCCAGCGGTCATCTTTAAATCTCATTACGTGACCAGCCCATCTGATTTTTGACATCTTGGCAAACGAGACAGCGTCCCTGATTCTTGATCGTCGACGGAGGTCGGAACTCCGGATTTTTTCTCTCATTTGAGTGAAACGTGATATTCCAAGCATAGCTCTTTCTATTCTTCTTTAGGAGACCTGAATAGCGTTCTCATCCTGTTTGCGTAGGGCCCAGGTCTCTGAGGCATATGTTAATGCAGGAAGAACAGTGGAATCAAAGAGATGTGCCCGGAGTCGGAGGTT